CAGAATGGTAAGTTGAACCTCAGGTAAGTTGAAGTAGACGACCTCCTAACCATCATTCTTATTTTTCAGGAATTTCAAGAAACCTGCAATTTGATAATCGGGTTTTTCCGCAATACGTTCAACGATAATACAGAGTAGGAATATCTACAGATATAAGTCAACAACACTTCTATATACAATAAAATAAAAATACGTAAAGCAGTTATTAAAGTATATTTAAGTATATTCCACTGCGTATCTTAATTCTTCACCCATAAAACCCTATCACCACCGTTTTCCTATGGCAACATGCTGGGACTAGGGGTATATGGTAGAGACTACATAAGCTACTGTTGCCACAGTCTGTTTATTAGTCCGAGCTTTCGAACTCGTGCACGTCTTCATCATCAGAAAACAGTAGCAGCAAAGTGACAATTATAGAGGTCAGTCTTCTCCTTTGCTTATGCAAACATCTGGAAGAAAAACGAATGGGGAGTACCTGGGTTACTCATCTGGAGTTTTTGACCAGATGATGCAGATTACTGGTTTGCTCAAACAGTACGCATTTTTAACGTTTTCATGCTTAATTCCGCACTTTAGGTTGATTCTAGAATGCCCAAGGCCTGGGATTTTCCGTAACTGGAGGCTCAAAAAATCGGTATAGTCAAAGATACTGCAGTATGTTTCGAACGGAATCTGGCTTAAACGTTCCAACAACATGACATTTCTATCATCGATTTTGACGATGTGAACCACGTGCTTCAGCAAGCTGAACTAAAACGTAGTGACTTACAAGTGGATTCCTCAAGAGCCGGCCAATGAACTGGTGCCATACTACTGAGGGAAATAACAAAAGGTGTGCTATGAGGCTAAGCTCTCTAATTGTACACAATGACATGCTTATTTATCTCTTAATATGTATATTGTGGAACAGAAATAAACCGGAGGTGTACAACGAAAAATGTGCATAAATAGCATCGTAAAGAACTAATTCCAAAACCAAAACCACAGTATAAAAAGTAAGCAATTGCCTTTTAGTTAAGGAGAACAGTGGCTCTGTTCAATTAGTGAACAGCGAAGGGAGGACCTCTTGTCTACTTCTCCCTACGGCCAACTATCATGTCTTCATGTTTAAGATATCTGTTCCCTGTTCACATGGCTAACACAGAGAGGCAGGAAGCCTAGGAATAGAGAGCATTTTGCACCACATAGTCTCTATGATAGCCTTTTTAATATCGTGAGACGTAATTTCGCGCAAGCCGTGGGTAGACATGAGCAGCCAAGAAAGCCACAAAAGAAATGCAATCAAGGCCAATGATGGTAATTCAGAGCTCAATGGAGAATCAATTGCTATTCCTTGATTTTCTGGATAATGTGAACAGTAGCCGCAGGACTGCAGCAACATACTGATTAAAAGTCACACGTTACCGAAATTCCCCAATCTGGTCTGATTATGGGAAGCAGTATGGATGGATTTGTCAGTCGCTCCGGTCTACAGTCCAGTCAAGTCTTTGTAGCCTAGGTTTAAACTCTGACTGGTTGATGATGACAAATAAGACTGAAATGGTCATTTCAGTCTGTGTATATTTTTGTCGCAACTACATTCTAGTAGGTAGTTAACAAGGTCGCAACTACAAGGAGCAGCCAACAAGCGAAATAAAAATTGCTGTTAATAGTCGATGGAAGGTTGGCTGAAAACCTATTTTTAAGAGAGATAACCAAAATAAATGTTAAAAAGATGGAAAACCAAACGAAAACCGTCAGTTACAGAAAGCTCAATTAACAAACACCGCTTAGAGAGAACCAGAGGAATGATGGACATACTGTGATCACAGTCCGTATGCTACAAAAACCCGGCGGAAAATCAACTATTCAACGTCTGTCTTTCGAACCCGCATTTTTAGAGGCTTCTATCGGGATAAAATAATGTCATTGATCAAACTAACCATATTCTGAAACGCCATGGTCCGAAGTAACAATAAATGTCGTTGCATTCATTAATTCTTGGGGTATATTTTTTCGAAAGAAATCGAAGACGGACTGAGCAAAGTTGTCCGCCTCAACTACAGCCTTCACGTAACCTGGTGATGGATATCCAGAAACGTGGCCGGCATGATCAGTAGAATCAAAATGCAAAAACACAATCTTCCCGCATGCTGACCCATTGACGTCATTCTTCTGCACGCTCAACTCTTGCACAACTCTGTCAGCAGACGTCTGCATTAAAAAAGAACAGAGTGGATGACAGAAGTCATAATCGGCGTCACAAGAAAGCGGATATACTAAAGCAGTCATGAGAAATAACATTCCCTTGCATGGACCTCGTCAGGACCGCGTGGTTAAAGCATAAACTATCAGAATCTACACAGGTTTTTTCTAATTCAACCTTTGGACTCAAAGTGACAGTTTACGCACTAGGACACTGTTTACAAAGACTAAGAAGTCCGGCGACAGTACGTGCACATATAATTATGGTATTACCTGTTACGAATGAGACTCGGAGCAAAGTTTGAGTGAATACTTAGTACCCATAAAGAGAAGGAATACGGAAGGGTCATTATATGCCGATGTACATTTATAGCACAGTCAGAGCTAGATAC